CGACCACAATAATCTTAACGATATCCAACTCCACGTCCCGGTATTGTGCGATGAAAATAGCGGCCACCGCTTCGTAAAGTGCCGTTCCGTCCATATTAATGGTGGCGCCGACGGGTATACAGAATCTTACGATTCGCTTATCAATTCCCAGATTCTTTTCGAGGCATTCAAAAGTGACCTAAAAATCAAATAAACAATAAATAAAATAATAATCAAAAATTTGTTTTGAAGACATGCCGGCATAGTTGCCGTCGAGGACCCGGTGCCAAAGGCCGTCATCATAGCCGCAGACATTTGCGACACAAAAGTGTATGGATTCTTACGGGTCAGTGCAAAATAAATTAGCGGTAATATAATGAGCCCATGGATTGCAATGCCCCCGATCACGGTAAGGGTATACCAGCCCACACTTCCCAATAAGTCACTCAAATCGTCGACTTCAAGAATTTTGGGCAAAACGAGGAACAAAACGGCTAAAGGAGTCAATTGTATGATAACGACAGTTAGAGCCATCATTGCGTTATTGAAAGCCTTGAAAAAGTCGGCCACAACTTGGGCCTCATCTCTCATGCGACCGATTATGACACCGAAAACCACAGCAAACACAACGACTCCCAGAATATTCATTGAATTATTCTTATCCGAACCGATTGTCCACTTATCCATATCAATACCCTCGCCATCGGTTCCGTTAGGAGGGGTTAAGACTGTTGTGTATGAGGCAAACGTTGCCTCCACTAAGTTATCGGGAAATAAATTCCTGTATTTAGAAAACAAATGGTTTAGTTGAACAAGTATAAATATAAATGCAAATGTACCTGATCAGATCTAATATGGTGTCAATAGTAGTCAGTTTTGCACTGTCCTTCTTCTCAAACTCCTCCTTATCCTTCTCACCCTTCATACCCGGCTGTATAGTCATCACCAGAATTATGCCCAAAATAATGGACAAAACTGTTGTCGTCAGATAAAAGGCAACCGTCCGGAAGCCTATCTTTCCAAACAGTTTGGTGTCGATGTCGCTCATGGCGTACACCAAACTCGTGAATATTAGCGGCAAAACCAAACCCTTAAGGATTCGTAGGAATAATTCGCCGATAAATCCCACGTATTTGATAGACCGGGGATCCCAACCCTCATTTATTTCTCTCAGTATAATACCGATAACAACGGCTAAAATGACACTGAACAGTGTGCCAATTGCTAGTATATTAGCATCAAATACTTTCAATACTTTAGCCAAAGTTGTCTTTCCGTTTCCATATCTATTCATCACTAGTTTGATGGATAGGGCCAGACCTAGAAAGCTGGCGATTATGTGACAAATCAAACTAATGCTACTGTTATTAAAGTCCACGACCAGACACGACAATATCAGTATAACAGACAACGATATTGAGTATACAAATGATGATAATATGATGTATACTCTTTTGATCTTATATTTTAGAGTTAATAATTCAATGATTAAGAACTGAAGCGATAGAAACATCCGTAAAACCATTAAAATAATTGTGAAATTAATTTTATAGACATCTTTGGATCCATTGAATCTGTAATCCTCTTCCTTAACGATATGTACGATTGAGTCGACGATTGATAGCAGAAGAAAGACGTTTGACGTGAATCCGATTAAACCCATTAAACCCGGTCCCGGGTTTGCCGTCTTTTTCTGCTCATTTTCGTTCACTATTTTTCCGTTGGCTTTCATTTTGGTATCAAATTATTAATATAGCGTTTGACCACAAATTGCAGATTATTTTATGAATAATTTTTAAACCATGATAAATATTTAGTAACAGTAATGATATGAATAATGAATAAGTTATTGTCAATTGAGATGTTATTCACAAATATTTATTAGTGAAAATATTTTTGCAAAATAAATCACAACTTGTGATTCACAAGTTATATTTTATTTGCTGCTAACTGCTGTTATTAAATAATTTATCATTTCTCAATTATTATACCATTTATAGTCTCATAAAAGTGATAATTTGAATCTAAAATCAAATGTATATCACTTTTAATGCACTTAAAAAGTTCTTATTACATAATTAAGGATGTTAAACTTGAATCTTCGGTATTTAATATTAACTTACATATGTTTAGAATAAATAAACAATGACATTTTAACAATGCTACTACTGTATATACTTTTCCACAGTAACTGTAAAAATGTATTAAACTTTTAATATATAACTTTTTTCATTAATATTATTTCGTTTAATTATTTTTCAATTAGATCAATGGAATTTATGTATTCAATATTTAATATGTACACAGCTTAGTTTATTGAATATCCAATTCTTATATAGAGTGTTCAGTGACTTACATCCTTGGATATTATATTATACATAGCTTGTACCAGTGCAAATTTATTTTATTATAACAATTCTTCTCTCAACGAGTATTTTATTACTTTCTTAATGAGCCCTAAAGAATAAAGTAATTAAACGCATAAATTGTGTTTGAGTTACCTTTATAAATATACCAGAATTATAATTGTCTATAAATACACACTCAATAATATTTACTTTTGATATACTGTAGTACTTATTAGTAGTTTAATAATTATGTGCCAAAACATGAGTTCCCAGAATGGAGATTAAATTGCTTTTTAAAATTATTGTCACTATTGCTTTGATTATTAATATTTTGTTAAGTTTATATCTATTGCAATAAAAATATTTCAAAACACCATTTATATTGCGATTAGAGTACGTTTATTATTAAACTATGTATAATAAAATTATTTAATAGACTTACAAAGGATCCGTTTTACTTATAATTTTCTAAATTTGAAAATTAAATTAAACCTTTTTAATATAATACTGTAAGACTATTTAATTTTACAAATAATTTTATATTTATTTACAATGACTTAAAATGATATTAAAAACAATGATTAATTGTATTGTACTTCAAATTTGATGAGTCTTTATGTGAATTAATTTAAATCAAAACCAATCATTGAATCAATTTTGATGGCAAACCAGCATTTGCTTAGAGTTCATACGTATAGATATCCTCGGCTTTGGCAGCTATACGCGGACAGGGAGTCGGTTTGGGAGACGGTCGGGGAGAGGGCTGTCGGGAAGCAGTCATCTCGAGATATGCCGGCTCTACGACTGGAAGACGCCAGTAATCATTACTAGACTGGATCTGGACATTAGCCGGCACCTCCACGTACTCCCCGTGATTAGAGTAATAGGCGGCGTCGGCATATCTGACCTCACCACCAGCTCCCACCACATCGTAAGTGTCGTACATCTTATTGGAGGGGAACTCCACGTCATCATAGCCTTCAAACTTCTCACTTTCCGGTCGATTCCTAGCGATCTGTTGAGTGATCTTTGATTTGATTCGTTTGGAGTAAACGTAAAACAAAACGGCTGTCAAACACACGATGAATACCAGTGCCGTGAATAGGATTCCTATTATTATCCAAACTGTTTCCATAGAATATAATTCATTAAATAATTAATACATTACAAGAGATAATAAGAATTTAATAAATGGTTCAAAACCTGGGAATCGTGTCGTTTCGTTGGGATCTAAATGAAAAGTTATAACAAATTATTAAACACTTAATTTATTTATACTATATATATATGAATAAAATTATAGCCAACCATAACAATAGGGTTCATTTCCACTCCAAACCCCAGTCTTGAGGCAATGTCTGCTTTCTTTGCCAACCAGTATATCAGAGCCGGGATTAGCGCACCCGTAGTTCACTTCTGTGCCGTCGACTGCATAGTATTGGCTCTCATTAAAGAAATAGAGGCCATCCATAGAAGTAATAACCGTTTGATTAGAGTGGGCGCCCACTAAAAGATTATCGAGTGAACAGGGTTTTAGGGGAACACAGTCTGGATACGAGCCCTTCCACCTCATATCTGGCTGACATTTCATGCTATGTACTGAGGTGTTGGGTAAATCGGGGTTATATGTGGAAATGTATTTATAATTATCTTTCCTGCAGTTAATCGAGTAATCCCTGTACTGGACATTGAATCTGGAGAACTGACTGCTCATGATCTCCGGTTCACCGCAAAGAGGCTCATCATCCGTGCCGTAAGATTTGCCCAAAAACACGGCAATGAGTTCGTGGTCTAATTGATGAGACGCCTGGGTCTCCATAAGCATGTAATCGCCCGGATCAGCCAAATCTTTTCTGGTGTCCTCGACCGATGCCGTATCGCACGTGAAATCGCTCTCAACTTTATTGCCGTCTTCTCTCCATTTGTCGCCGCCTTGGTAATTGAGTCGACACGAGCGGTAAGGGCTCACCTCTAATGATATATTAAACCTGAAGTTCTCCTTGTCTTGTGGCGACAGAAACGTGTAGTTAATGAAATTGAAGTTAATTCTGACAAAGAGTTTAGCGGTGGGCGCCGTGAATCGGAAGCTCCACTTGTATTTGTTGGTGTCATTTATCCTAAGTCTGGCCTTTTTGAAGCGATTCGATGTGAAGGCGTTGGGATACCTCCACGTGGTGTTCGTGATCGTCATATTCAAGTGCTCGAACACCAGCACCGGGCGATCGCCACTTATGTCCTCCAGTTTCGAGTCCTTCATCAGCGTATGGCTCACGAAGTCTCCTAAAACACAATTATAGCAATTAAACCATTAATTCATATCACTATTCAATATAAATATAATTTAGCATTAGTTTCATTTAAATACTTAAATACTTAAAGATTTTAAAAGACTTTGAAAGTTCTGAACATTAGTTAAAACATTTTCTATAGTTTAATAAACTTGTATAATGTGCTAAAAGTATTTGAGTACCACATCGGGGTTGTTCGCCAGTCCATCGGCCTTTCTCACACTTTCTGGTCTTAATGAATGACCAGAAGTCAGTGCACTGGTAGGTGACCTCCTCGCCCTCATCGTATAATAGTTTATTGTCCGGTTCCAGTTTAGCCCGATATGGCTTACCAGGGTATCCACACTTGCCATTCAATTGGCATATGGATGTGTAAATAATGCTAAATATGATTAAATTAAATAAACATAATTTGGTTGAGGAATACATTTGTAAATTATATGACATAAAAAGCTCAGTAATAATAAATCAGATCACATTTCAATGCGATTCAGTAAACAATTGAAAGGAAATGTATTAACGGAAAGTCAAAAAGATTCTCACCATCCATGTCCTCAATTAATATTAATAATACAGACGTTTCGCAAATGAAATTAAATGGAAATTTAGTGATAATTACATCAATACTATTGAATTTTGGCACAAAAACTATTTAACTATCTTTTAATACGATATAATTTGTGAATAACTTTTTTATATAAATACGTTTGCTAACTTTATAAAAATTTATCGTAAAAAATATTTTATAAAGGTTATAGAATAAAATATTCTGAATAATATACAGTAGTTGTCATTTATATCTTTTATTTAAAGCTTTTTATTGATAGCTTTTATTTAAAATAATTTATTACATTTTTTGGTTAAAATACTAACAATAAAGTGAGCTTTAATTAATTAAATTAATATATTATAATTTAATTATAATAAACATAAATTATATTGTATTAATTGTCAACATTAATTATCAGATTAACAATTTTATATGATTTATGTCCAATTATTTTAACATTAAATTCAAGTACTGGTAAATCTTTCTTATTTTTTATTTGAATTGAATACAACTTTCCGGTTGAATCAACACTTAATACAGAATTAGGAATCAATGAATATACCATACACTGTATAGCAATTTTAAATCCCATAATCCTTTGACATACAATCAATTCATAAACAACAACTACCTATAATTCAATCATTTCCTCATTTGTCATCAAAATTGAATAAATCATTCAAAACCTGAAAATATGAATATTTTGTTGTTTTTTGTGAGTTTGTATTGTCTGACATCATTGACATATTCTGTACAATTAGGTATTTATTAATATTTATATGAATCTATTTATACAATATTACACAACTATAGTAAGTTATATTAACTTCATTATTACTGATATTCATATGATATTTGGCAAATCATCAATAATGTAATTGTATTCAATGATCAGTTCATCGGTGGTTAAGTATATTTCAAAGGAATGATAAAATCAGAGCTCAATACCCGACACAAAGCAAATCAATGGGAAATCTAATTATGAGAGGAATTGAGTCGAAAAGATGTGAAGACTCTCTTTGTGTGGATTGTGTGCCAGGATTTTGTCGACAAAGACCTGTTCCGCCCACTCATCCGCCGGTTATGAGCCGTACGTTACATCACATCACAAATCACACCATTAATCGCATTCATAACCAAACCATTGGCCACAATATAACCGCTAATCAAACTCATGGGATAATTGCCGTCAATGTGACACAAATCTCGGAGTTTCCCAACAATTTTACCGATGTTTCAGATTTTGAAAACTTTTTATCTCCAGAGTTAGCAAACATGTCATCAAATCCTAATTCAACTGATGGTTCGCCGGTCATCGCAACTACAAGTCCGCCGCAAATGTGTTTGTGTTCATGGGTTTGATGTGATTATTAAAAACACATTCATTAGTAAAATAAGAATTAATTTATTAGTTTTGAAAAAAAGTATTCGGACTTTAAGTCCAAAATGAAAAGTATGTTAAAAATTATGTGCTAAATAAACAATGTATTTGAATAGCGTAAGTTTTTAGTGTAAGCAGTATTTATCAAAACATTATGAGATGAGAGGTAATTAAGTGAGATATTCAAACTGTAATCGACTATAAAATACAAAATTAATAATTTGTTACAAAAATTGTCACTTTTATGAATTGATAGCCACACTGAGTGTAGTAAAGAATAGGCTCTCAAACTAAATGAACACATTTACTCTCATTTCAATGTTAATGACTGTAAAACTTTCAAATAAAACCTAAATTACAATCCGTTTTAATGTGAATTTAAATATTACAGCAATATTGTTAGTATTAAATCTCTGTTTAAATAATAAATGAAAAATAATAATAACAAATCAATGTTTATATTCAAAAACTCAATTTAATTTACAGTAAACGACGAAAAACTGATGCATTAAATAAGAGACTAATTTAAATATCGGACAAATAAATGTTAAATTTATACTTTGGATGACAAAAAATATTTAAATTAACAAAAAAAAGAAACTTTAATAACATTCACTAAATTTGATTAAATATAAAATTTGTATTTTGATCTTCAATTTAATGGTTGGTAAGGGAGTGGTACTAATGGTGGACCTCTTCATCCTTGCCATTAGTATCGATGAACGGAGTATTTGTCTGGTCTTCTAATGTCATCTCAACTCCATTACCATTAGTTGTCTTATCCTA